CCATTATAAAAATATGCTAAAGGCATTCGGGCCGGGCCGGGCCGAGGGAAGGAGAGGGGAAGGGAGGAGGGGCGCTACCTGTTCCGGGCCGGGCACGGTACCCACCACCCCCTCCGTCTCCGGCGCCGCCATCTTGTTGCGCCCAGGCCCCGCGCGGCTCTCGCGAGAACTGCCCCCGCCATGCCCCGCCCGCGCGACGCGCCGCTTCCGGGGCAAGGGACGCCATTTCCGGCCGCGGGGGGTAGGGGCGGGGCCTGCAAGGCTGCAGCAGGCGCCACGTGGGAGGATCCCCTGCGACGCCCGGGGGCTGGCACGTGACGTCATCCCTGTCCTGGGCTTGTGTCACGACCCAGCGCGGCCTAGGGCTGGGGTCAGGGGCCGGGCTCTCCCGGGGCATCCGCAGCCTCCACTGCCAGCCCCTGCGAGCACCAGCGCAGGGAGGCTGTGGCCCCTGTCCCGGGCAGGACAGGGCAGGCCTGGTCTTTCCGCTCACAGGCCGAGGGTGTCTGGGCTGGCTTGCGAGGGGCCGGTCCTGCCTCAGCCTGGGCTGCTCCAGACACGGCTCCGGGTTTGCACTAGGAGCCCCTCGAGTGCGGCCGTTGCCACACTGGGCGTCGCAGCCTCTCGTGTAACCAGCCTCCCCCTCCCCCTTGTCTTCGCGCTGCCCCACGAGCCCCGGTCTCCTCTGCTTCCCTGCACCCCACGTTGCCGGAGGAGAGGCCACAGGCAGCCCTGCTCTGGCTGGGCAAACCGAGGGAGATCCCGGCCCTGGCAGCAGGAGCTCATTTGAGTCGGGTCTCGCAACTCCCAGAGCCAAAGCTTGGCCCCATTTGATGGGGGTGTTGCCCTGACGCTAGTGCCAGGGGTGGGAGAGGTGGCCTTGACACCTGGGAAGGTTGAGGCCAGCTCAAACTAGTGCCAGGGTCTGTGGACAAAGGGAGAGTGAGCTCAGTGCCGACATTTACAGAAATACCCAGATTTTTGGTGTCACGTGTTCTGCACGAAGCCCGTGCAGCCTGGGCTGCGAGCGCAGCGGAAGATGGGCAGCGTTGCAGTTAAGGACGAGGCTTGCTCGTGGCTCAAAGGCCAGTTTTTCTTAGTGCAGCCATTTAGATGTTCCTGAAAACTGCTCTGCCTTGCGAGGCTCTGCAGCCAGGCTAGCAAGTCAGACAGGGCCTTCTCGCACACAGCTCCCCGTCCTGCCAAGCCAGGTGCCATCATAGAAGAGCCACGTTGCTTTTTGGTGCACAGTGTGGGTGGATGCAGGATTTTGAACAGTGGGGTGTGACACACGTTTGTGTCCAGTTAAAGAAAAACTAGAGGCTTAACTGAGATGCCAGGGACCTAGCACTGTGTTATTCTGTTTAAGATCAAAGCAAAAACAAATGTCATTTTTCCATGATTTAAATGAAACACCACTAATATATAGGTAGCTATATATTAGTGGTGTTTCATTTAAATCATGGAAAAAATGTTGATTTGGGGGTTGTTTTTTTTTAACCGAAAATGGGGGATTTTTTTTAAATCAGTGAAAACCAGGATCCCTGGTCATTAGTCTTGTAGCTTTTATAGTTAAATATGCATTTCTTACCCAGATTTGTAAAACAACATGTAGTCTCCCTGAGCATCTTAACATCGTCTCCAGTACTTCACTGTGTCAGTCATTTCTAGACAAGTCAATCGCACTACCTCTGAGTTAAAATTTTCAACTTGAACTAAAAACAGCCTACAGGGCTGCAAAATGGGAGAGAAGTTCCAGGAATGGCTAACAGGCATCAGTGCTGCAGAAGGAAGGAGAGTTTGGATAGTGAAACCTCAGGACTGTTCACAGGGAGAGAGTGGTTGACACCTGTGGAATGAAGAGCTATTAGGAGAGTATAATGGGCCATGAAGTCGGTTGATTCCCTCAGCTCTGCCCGAGGAGAAATGCCTCTGAGCTACCTGCAGCTACAGCCCTCCCCGGCCTTGCATCAGGGGAGGCAGGCTGGGCTCACATGTACGTGCTCTGGGAGCCCAGCACGATGGTGCTGCCAGATGGGACAGGGAGGCTGGTCTCTGAGGTCATTTGATTTAGTGGTTCTCGGCCTTCTGCTATGATCAAGTATGACTGGGGGCATCCGATCCCCAGGCCTCCTGGCTCGGGACTTGTCTGTAGCTTGGCCACCTGGATATGGGGAATATCTAGACTCCCAGGTCTATGGGTCTGGGGGGAAGTTGTCAGTGGGTGGCCCATGGATCTTTGCAGACAGTTACTGAGACGCAGAACTGAATTGGCACTTGGATTAGATTAAGAAATGGATTCATTTGCCCCCCCCACCCCCGACACACACGTTACACAAGGTCTCTGATGCAGGCGCCTGGTGCAAGGTTCTGCAGTGTGGAGGGGGTGTCAGATCCAGCTTCCTCATTGGGAGTTGATTTTCTGGTCACCTGTGCCTGGTGAGCCAGTCTGGAAGCTGGTCCCCGCTCCATGGGCTGGGTGGGGAGAGCAGGTTGGGGGTGGGAAGGAGGCAGGCCATGCTTCTCAGAGCATCTCCGAGCCTCCCGGGAGATCAGAGCGGCATGTGCTCTCCGCTGCAGAACCTGTGCGCGCCCCTCCCACGCCAGGGAAAGTGGAGGCTGGGGCTCCTTGGCTGGTTACCAGTCAGTGTTTCCAGGTCCCCCGGACTCCACGTGCTGACTCAGGCTGGGGCACTGCCTCGTGGCACCCTTCCCCCATGCCCCGTCCGCCCACCCACCCTCATTCCCAGGCCCTTCTGGCTTCACCGGGGGCTGAGGAACCAGCTGTGCCTTCTAGTCCTGTGCTGCTCTCACCTCTTCCCAAGGCACAGGGGAACTGAGAGCCCAGAGCCTCGGTGAGCGCTGAGCTCGGGTGTTGAGAATGGCTTTGCCCCCCAGGGCAGTCAGGGCACTTGGATCCCAGCACCGGAGCCAGGAGCTCTGCTGCTCTCTGCTGTGCCAGCTCAAGGCGAGAACGGCCTCCCCCTGCCCCGGCACCTGCGAGTGATGCCGCGGCTCCCTGGATAGGTATCATGGGCTGCGGCTGCGGTGGGCACGAGGCTGCCCTGGCTTGCGCAGCTGCCCTGACCCCCAGCTGGCTGCGTCTGGTGTCTGCTGCCCCAGGGACCGCGGGGGCTGCCAGGCGTTCCCAGCACTGCTGACACGGCCCTGGGGAGATGCCGCCTGCCCTGGGCTCCGTCCTGCTGCGCTCGCAAGGGCC